GAGCCAACGAACCACCCTTGCCGCCAACGCCACTCTGAGTCGGTTTTTGTGTGTTGATTTACCTGATGATGATGGTGATTCTCTAATGTGACCTCTTCTTTCACAACATCGCGCACGTCGTCGGTTAATGCGGCCAAATCTTTCACTTCACGTATTCTGCTCAGATGCAGCTCAGTTGAGGAATCCTGTTCCATTCTGCACCACAACAACACGATAAAACAAATGCACTCTTCTTCTGCTTCTGTTGGTTTCCGTTTTCTGTTTGTTGGATATGAATGTGAAGTTGTTCATCGAATTGTTGCAATTGCAATTGGGCTACGACAACTACGAAGTCTGTTGTCGTTGCTATTGTTTTTGTTGTTTTGATTATTGTTGCGTTTGCGGCTGCTTTGCGCGCACACCATTCACATTGACTGTGTATTGTGCACGTTGTTTTTGGTTATTTACAATAATTTTAATATGTTGCAATTTACATTTTTACATTTCTTAAAAGTTGATATCCGCAGCGATATAAGAAACATAACGATGTATCGATATAATCGATATTTTATTTTCTTCTCATTCGATAGCTATTCGATGGATCTATATTTATATCGAAAATGTTTATTTACAAAGTATATTTTTAATTAGTTAAATAACTTTCATTAGCAATTCTACTATCTAAGCCATTAATACTGTGTTTATTTTAAGTACTGTAAACTATTACTTTTGAAATCGACTTGCAGGGCATGCGCTTCAACCTATTTATTAATCGAATATCTTGATTTGACTGCATGATGTGGATCACACGTTGAACTAAAAAATACTTGCAATAAATAAATGGTTCATGTTTTTTAGACATAGTTCGCTCTTTTAACTCTGCGAATATGTCAATCGAACTAATTAGGAGTGCTTCGATAAGTCTTTGATAATAATAACAAACATGGTAAGCTTAATGTTTTTAACCAAATGAATTTATGTTGAAATATATTTGACATTTCATTTGTAGGCAGATGTAGATGTTTTTATAAGCAACTATACACTAGTGGATCCCGAAATTTATCAATTATGGATCGAAGGATTTTCCTGTATGTCGTGAATTATGTTCACATTCTACCTTAAATTAATGCTTTGCATGTTTTCATTCCAAAGCTAGCGAGGCGGTTTGCTACCTAAAGCAAAAAGGATTTGGCCACTCAATGGGTGCGCCAATTGATTTGATAGCTTCCGATGTTTTGGATCATTATAGGACCTATTCATTGATTGAACTGTATTTGCATGCGCCCTCCAAATTAATGGAGCAATCCTGTTTCCAGCTAGAGCACCATACACGCGATCTAATTATCGAGAAATACTACTCGATTGATGATGTGGTGGCTCGTGAAATATTGGGTAAGAAATTGACATCCCGCTATCGCAAGGATCTGGACGAAGTTGGCGATAAAACGTGCGTTAAGCTGAAATCATGTCGGTATGTAATTTGAGATGAATTCAAATGTGTTTATTTAAAATGTAACTATTTGTCTACGTGCAGTCGTCAATTCGATAACGTAAAACGCATTTTTCGTACTGTGGAGGAGATGCCTGGCACGCTGACCAACAATATAATGCAGCATTTCTTTATATCCAACGACTTGGCCAAGTAAGTAGAATATATAAATATATTTTGTCACCTAATTGATTTGTATTTTTCTAAATCTTAGAAAATATGCCTGCATTGTATTTCTGGCTTGCCTTCGGTTTGAGACATCCAAAAAGAAATTGCAATATTTAACTTTCAGCGATTTGCTTACCTGCTCACACTCTATCATGATATATTGGACCTATACATATCAGGTAAAGAACATTGATTGAAAGTTATAAATTAATTTTTTAAAGCTTGATATTTACTTAGCACACTGGACCCGAATATTATGATACCGAAATGGATAAAGAATTTCTGCTAGACTTACGTGAATTGCGTTGTTTACTAGACAAAGAAAAGGAAATTAAGCAGTACGTTACTGAAATTGTAATTTGAATTTTGTATTAATAATTTATTCATTTACTTTACAGTTTGGTTTGTATGCGCCTAAAGCCTGTGTTGCTGGAGCGCGCCTTCAACGAGTTGGATAGTAATTTTCGGTCATATTGGCGTGCGCTAATCACCATAGCGTGTAATCTGCATCGAAATCGTGAGCTGCGCGACTTATTTGTCGATCTCTGCGAAAGACTTGTGGAGCCTTGGCGACAAAATGGTTGGAATCGCGAGCAAGTGAACAAATTTCTAGCCTCTATAACACAGAGCGTTCTAGATTTGGAAATATCTAGGTGAGTTACGGAATATATGCATTAATATACATATATAATTAACGATCCATTATTATAGGGACCAGGAAACGCGTTGTCTTTGGGATCGCTATATGCAAGTCATAACCATATGTTTAGATAGAATGTATCACGTTTAAAGAAAAATGTTTTGTTTTGTTTATGACAATGTTTTTTTTTTTTACAATTAATTTATTATTAGGCTGAAAAGAATTAAAAATATTTATTGTAAACTAATATGAATCGTAAGTTCTAAAAAGCTCTTTTTGCTGCAAATGCATTTAGCCTGCTATGCAGCTATGCGGAGAGTTGCCAGATAGGCAGAAAAGCTTAAGCCTTTGGAAAAGCTTGCATTTGTCAAACTGCAAATTCTTGCCAATTGTTCGCTACGATTTCTTACAACTGTTTGTAAACAATAATAATTATTAATAAATTGCATTTTATTCCAAAGTCATAAATTAGAAAAGCAAATTTGCAACACTTCGACAGCAAAGTCATGCAAGAGATATGGTAAGTTCTAATTGCGAATTTAATGTAAGAATTTTTACGTAGTTCTAAGTACTCACTCACAACCAGACACACACACACAAGCACACAGATACACACACGCACACACACTCTCGTTCGCATGCGTTTTACATGTGTTTTCCAGAAGGGGATGTGAGTGCCGCAAGCAACAGTTGCCTCATTTAATTTAATGGGGTTGGTTTTTCTTATTATTATTTTTTTCTTCTTACAGTGAAAATTTGGATGAACTGGAGGATGACACATACGATGATGAGAAATCAGCGCGCACCTCAGATGAAAATCGCAAGTAGGACAAATGACATGCCCCATAAATGAGACTATATTAATATGATTTGTATTTCTGTTTTAGGCAAAATCACAGTGAAATTGAGAAGCGGCGACGCGATAAGATGAATACATATATTAACGAGTTGTCCTCAATGATACCCATGTGCTTTGCCATGCAGAGGAAGCTGGACAAGTTGACAGTGCTGCGAATGGCTGTGCAGCATTTGAGAGGCATACGGGGCAGCCTGCATCCGTATAATGGGGGCGACTATAGACCCAGTTTCCTGTCGGATCAGGAGTTAAAGATGATCATATTGCAAGCCTCGGAGGGTTTTCTGTTTGTTGTGGGTTGTGATCGCGGACGCATTCTCTATGTGTCGGAATCTGTCTCGACTGTGTTGAATTGCACCCAGGCAGATCTGCTGGGTCAGAGCTGGTTCGATGTCCTGCACCCGAAGGATATTGGCAAGGTGAAGGAGCAGCTGTCCTCACTTGAGCAGTGTCCACGCGAGCGACTGATCGATGCCAAAAGTGAGTATTTACTTAAGTAATTTCAAAATCTAAATAAATTTCTTTTGCTTAGCTATGTTGCCCGTCAAGACGGATGTGCCGCAGAGCTTGTGTCGCCTGTGTCCGGGAGCTCGCCGTTCCTTCTTTTGTCGCATGAAACTGCGTGCCGCCAACAATCAGATCAAGGAGGAGTCCGACACATCTTCCAGTTCGCGCAGCTCCACCAAACGCAAATCGAAGCTTAGTATGGATCACAAATATCAGGTAATACAGTGCACGGGCTACTTGAAATCCTGGATGCCCATTAAAGATGAGGATCAGGATGGCGACAATGATGACCAAACAACGAATCTCTCCTGCCTCGTGGCCATTGGACGCATACCAACCAACGTACTCAACTCGAGTGTGCCCTCCTCCCTGGACAACCATCCCAACATTCGGCATGTGCTCTTCATCTCACGTCACTCTGCGGAGGGCAAGTTCCTATTCATTGATCAACGGCAAGTCCTTATTTAATTTGAGTAAGGTATATTTATATACGTCTGATCTCTGGCTCTTTGCAGTGCTACGCTGGTAATTGGCTTCCTGCCGCAAGAAATATTGGGCACCAGCTTCTACGAGTACTTTCACAACGATGACATTTCCGCTCTGGTGGAATCCCATAAGATGGTTATGCAGGTGCAAGAAACAGTTACCACGCAAGTTTATCGTTTCCGCTGCAAGGACAATGGCTACATACAGCTGCAGAGTGAATGGCGCGCTTTCAAGAATCCCTGGACAAATGACATTGACTATATCATTGCAAAGAATTCTGTATTCCTATAGCATATGGCCATGCCCGATGGGAAGAAATCCAACTAAATAAAATCTGGAATTGGAAAGTGGTATTGGAGTTTCCGTGAGCCATTTACTGGTATCAGTTGTTTCCACTTACTATTGATGTAAATTGTTGTTTGCTTTTTCAAAATAGGTGGATTTCCGATTTAAACAAAATAAATATATTTTTTTCGAGAAATATTTGGTCTTTTTTTATATTTAAGAGTCCAAATTTTTTTAAATTTAATTTAGATGATTTTTTTGAGAAAAATAATTAGAAACTACAATTTTAGTTTGATAAATTACTTCTCACCTTAAGAGCTAATTAGACTTATTGTATCTGCTCTCTTCACATCGCAGAGAGTATCGAAAAAGAGCAGAATTTAATATAACTGTAGTTATCAAATGATTATTACTGTTCCTTTATAATGTTTATGTGTTCAGTCAATGAGCCCACATTCATGCAAAAGCCGGCGTCTACGGTCAGACGTGTACGTGTGTATGTGTGCTTGAATGTGTGAGTCTCTCTCGAAGCTCTTTCGTGCTCGAGTGCGCATATCCAATTGGCTTTAGTTTTAGTTGGCATACAGCGTGCAACGTGTGTAGACGTATTGTGACTGCGGTGATCTCCAATCAGAATATTGTTCGCAGATGTCGTCAAGATGAGTGCCTTAATATTTTTAGTTATCATTCTAATTGGATTTATCATATACTCTCTGTTAAATTCAATAAGACGTCCTCACAATTTTCCGCCGGGTAAGTTTGATAAAAACAAACAAAAATAATTACTTGAAAAGACGAGGTAACTTCAATTCTTTGGACACACATTCCTAATTCACACATCTGAAAATCAGTTTCAAATGTTTATTGCATTTCAAGGCTGCAAACGACGGTTAATTAATTTAAAAAGTTTAGCTTAATTAGATTCTTAATAAATACAACTTTTTGCAAGTTTAAAAACGTGCAGATCAGCAAATCTTTGTACTCATATAATGTGCAGAGCCGTAGTGTTTTTTTTTTTACTTCTGAAGCATGGAATTTTGTTGTTTATAGAGGAGTTTATCTAGTATCAAATTTGTTGATGCCTTTTTGCAATAAGAAACCAACGAGCAAAAATTCGCAATTGAGAACGGCTTAGCAAGTCCAACTGGACTTTCAATTGGACTCACCAAATGGGCAACTAGAACAACTTTGGCAGCCCACAGCCCACATCAAACGCAAAGGCGACGACGACGGCGACACGCGTCTGGCATTTCAAATAGTTTTCATTGATAAAATGGTCACACAACTATTGCTGACACCTCAGTCTAACATTTTGAGTGGGGTGTCTTGTCATATAACTAATTTACATATACATTTTCCAAGCCCAAATTCATCTACTTATGCAACCATAAAGGGAAAAACGTATTATATTTGAATTAATAATTAGGCATCGAACTCTACATGGACTTTTTTGTATGCAATGTGCATATGTATATGAATTGCATTAATTAAAGCACAATGAGTAATGCATATAGTTATTATTTAAAAGTCCTTCTACTTCTCTACAGGAGTTAACCATGTGCCATACACAACACATAACAACTTAATAATTTGATAAGGCGTAAACTTGGGAAGAATATTATTTCAGTTTTCGATTATTATTATTTTTTTTTTTGCTACTGAGTTGATTAACAGATTTACGATAGTGCCAAATAGTTTTACGATAAGATTAAGATAAAGCTCTGTGTAAATTCGGAATCGAATCATCAATTTTTGATTTGCTCACGAAATTAAGTAATCATTCGATCAACCATTGCTTGCCAATTACTCTTATTAGTTTCTTAAAATCAAAGTTTATAGCGAGTTAGCGACGTATGCCTATCTATGTGTATGTATGAGCACAATATTCGCCTAGGACACCAATGTGTATAAGAGAGAGAGAGAGAGAGAGAGAGAGAGAGAGAGAGAGAATGAACAGCAAAGGGCAGTGGCAATACATACTCTTCTATCACTCGCTCTATCATCACATACTCGCTCTCTTTCACTCTCAGTATCTTGCTATAAAAATGTGTGCAAGAAAAGTAAAGAGAGAATTGATTTATTAAGAGAGAGCATAATGTTAGAATATGGCTTTAAATCATTTTTTAGATCGGCTTTAATTTAAAAAACTTACTTTGCTTTTTAGGACCTGGTTTCTTGCCGTGGCTGGGCAATACACTGCAGTTCCGCAGGGAGGCTCGAGCAGCTGGTGGTCAGCACATACTATTTGAGCAGTGGGCGAAGCGCTATCAGAGTCCGCTCATCGGGCTAAAGTTGGGACAGGACTATGTGGTCGTGGCGCTGGGGCATGAGCTGGTGCGTGAGGTGCAGCTGCAGGAGGTGTTCGAGGGTAGACCGGACAACTTCTTTCTGCGCCTGCGCACCATGGGCACACGTAAGGGCATCACGTGCACGGATGGGCAACTGTGGTACGAACATCGCAACTTTGCCATGAAACAGATGCGCCATGTTGGCTATGGCCGCAGCCAAATGGAACAGCAAATAGAGCATGAGGCAGAGGAGCTGATGCAGCAACTCGCACGGACTGAGGCGGCGCCTATAGAGCCCGTCAATTGGTTGGCTCAAAGTGTGCTTAATGTACTCTGGTGCCTGATTGCTGGGGAGAGAATCAGTAGAGATGAGGATGGCACGCTGCGTCGCTTGCTTGAACTGATGAATCGCCGATCTAAGCTGTTCGATATCTGCGGTGGCCTATTGACACAGTTTCCCTGGCTGCGTCATGTTGCGCCCAACTACACGGGGTACAATCTGATCCGGCAGCTGAACACAGAGCTGCATGGCTTCTTCATGGAATCCATCAAGGAGCACAGGCAACGAATAGAGGAATGCAAGAAGCGTGGGGAGCAGCCACCCGAGAGTGATCTCATCTTTGCCTATCTGCAGGAGATGAACAGCCAGCGCCAGGACACCGATAGCTTTAATGAGACGCAGCTGGTTATGACAATACTTGACTTTTTTATTGCCGGCTCACAGACAACCAGCAATACGATCAACTTGGCTTTGATGGTGCTGGCGATGCGCAAGGATCTGCAGGATCAGCTGTACGATGAAGTAGCTGCAAATTTGCACTCTACTGACAGCAAAACGGACTCCTTTCCACATCTCAGTCGGCGCGAATCTTTCTACTACATGGAAGCCTTCATCATGGAGGTGCAGCGCTTCTTTCACATTACGCCCATAACAGGGCCGAGACGTGCGCTCTGGAACACCAAGCTCGGTGGCTTCGATATACCCAGGAATGCCACGATACTCATTAGCTTGCGTTCAGTGCATCTCGATGAGCAGCATTGGAGTGACCCACACGAGTTTCGACCGGAGCGTTTCATTGATGCAGATGGCAAGTGTTGCAAGGACGAATATTTTATGCCTTTCGGACTGGGTCGACGCCGTTGCTTAGGTGATGCCTTGGCACGCGCCTGCATCTTTTCTTTTCTTGTGCGGATCGTTCAGCAATTTCGTGTTGTCCTTCCAGAAGGCGAAACACCATCATTAATCTTGCAACCTGGCATTACACTTACTCCCAAGCCGTACAAAGTTCAGTTTGTGAAGCGCAATTGATCCATAATTCATATGAATATATAACTTTATTTAGATATGTAAAAACGTTGTATTAAAATAAAAGCAATATAATAAATAGGTTTTTGGAGCTTTTGAACTATGCGCCCACTTTAACAGCCCTGCTTATACAGTTCCCATCGATAGTTTCGATATTTACATTTCGATAGCTCACTTTTTAAGTCTGTTCAAATATCACCGCGACATGTGAGACATATTTATCATTCCAATGCTGAATATATAGTCTACTAATCAATAGCATCGTATTTAAAATTATGTATTTATTATTATTTCATACTCCGCAGTGATTTTGCCGAAATTACATCTATTTATTACCTTTCCATCGAACTTGAGCACGACTTAAGAGCCAACTTACTAGCTAACCAACTATCCTCTGGCTCAATAGCATTACCAGCTACTTTATTTTTAAGACTTCTTCCCTTATAAATAAAGACTTCTTTCTCCTGCACTTGCTTTCGCGGGAGATTAGGCATCGATTAAATTATTATGCTCAGAAACGAAAACTTTGGTCTAGTAATCCAGTTGTAGTAAATTGCTTCAACAAATGTATTAATCGTAGTTCGACCAGTTCGCACGTAAAAATCCCTTAAGATATCACATCTTTTGGTAATTTCATAATTTTTTTTATTCTGTACTTTTTTGGTAAGTTTTTTTTGATATTTCAATATTTCAAAAATATATATACTTTTTTAATTTTTATTAAATATTGGAGTTTTTAAGGATATGTGGAAATTCATAATATTGTATGTAATTGTAAAGTTAGCTTCACACATTCTAGTTTGTTTGTTTAGTGTGAGTTAGTTAGTTCATCTTATTTTTAAAACTCAGGGTAGCTCCCTTTGGAAGATTTTAAACAGAGCAGAAAAAGCTAAAAAGAACAAATAACAAATAACGAGTTTATATTCGTTCTGGTCTGATTCCTCTTTATTGACAAGTATGTTAAACGAAAATTTGAATTAAATGTGGAAACTTATTTTATGATTTGCAATTTTTTTCTTTAACAAAATCAAAACTTTTCAAGTTAATCGTTATAAATATATATTATATTGTAGATGTAGGTATACATACGTAAATATGTATAAATAACAACACCAAAGCCGGCTTCGAACTCAGTATGGGAGATATATCCGTAAAAATGTACTTATATGTTTAATGAAAATATTTACAGGCATTAGGAAGCTTCGCATATACAAAAAATAGGGATTATTAATGTAGCTAGCTAAAAATCGATCATCAAAAATAATATATATGACCACAGATGCATTGAAATACGCATACACAATGTATATTTCGCAATATACATTTATATCTCTTGTGCTGTAACGTATTTGGATTAAAATGCACGAGTTGTGGTCCTGGACCGTATGCACACATCGAATTTTTGGAACGCTTTCGCAAATAATAATAATAATTAGAGTATATAACAAAAGAAAACAAAGTACTAAACGTAAATTAAATTTCGGGCCCTTATGACTTAAATGCTAATGACTGCACACTGAGGTGTTGTCAGTGCATGTCTTTCTATGCCCGCTCTGCACACATTATGGTGCTACTTTCACGGTTCATCTGAGAGATTACCACTTTAGAATGGTTTAATTTGCAGTGTTTGTTTTTTTGTCATGCTAGAAGTTAAATCCGTTATTGGGCAGATTTTGCGGATTGAACTCATACTGTTGACTGCCAGCAACGGGTGCCACACGCGTGTCCTCCTCTTCGTTGCCAAAGTATTGTTCAATAATGTAGAATGATTTATGATAAATATCGCGATTTTCGTGTGCCTGCAGATATTCAATTTTGTCGAGACCTGTTAATGTTCACAAATTAATAATTGTTTTGATTCACTCTGCAAAATCAATTTAACATACCGCCGCACTCTTCAATGGTTATTGCATAAGGATTTGGTCGCACTTGAAACTTTTCTCCGGCTTTCAGAATATTCTCAAGAGCATTCAAAGCTACCTGAATAATATCCGAATCCACTACAGTGAGAAAGTCGCACATTGGCGGCACACAGCCGACCTGTACTAAATAATTGATTTGCTCTGCGGTTCCACTACTGGTGGCATTAGTTATTGCCCAGGCCGCTTCCTTTCGTGTTTTAAAGTCTGCTGTTTGCATTATGGTCATTAGCTGTGGGAAAATGTTGGCATTGATGATTGCCTGAATTTGCTCGCGATTGCCAGCCGCAATATTTGAAATGGTCCAGCACGCTTCCTTCTTAATTGTTTCGGCCGTTGAGCATAGCAATAGACTGATGCACGGCAAGGCATTATAGCTCAATATCACTTGGGTTTGCTGATCATCGCCGGTGACAATATTGCCAACAGCGCGCAGTGCCGCCGTACTCACGTTCTGTTGTGGATGCCTAAAAGTAGACACATTTAGTTATCATCATAATATATATTATCTTAACATACAGTAGCAAATCGACGAGACGCCGACAGACACCCGCATCAATCACGGCCTGAATTTTATCGTTTGGCCCATCAGATAAATAGCTAATGGCCCAACACGTATCGCTGAGCACATCTGCGTCAGTGTAGTGCAGTAAGCGCGCAAGTATGGGTAGACCATGCACAATTTTAGAGAAATCAGCCGGAGGATTTTTGCCACGACATAAATTTGAAAGCGTCCAAACGGCATTCCGAACCATTGTGATACGGTCCGAAGTGCTCAGCACACTGTTGTAAAATCAAAAAGAAAGTTATAAAACTTAAATGAAAGACAATTCATATGGATGTAAGTACTTACTGCAGTAGTGGCAATAAAATGCCAGAATTAAGCAAATGATCACGACACGCCGGTGAATCACCAGCTATGTTGCCCAATGCCCACACAGCCTGCTCCTGCACATCGTGATGGGGGCTCGACAGCAGCTCAATGAATACGGGCACTGCGCCGGAATCAATGACAATCTTAGTTTGGTGTGAGGTACCCGATGCAATGTTTGTCAATGTCCAGGCCGCCTCGAATTGTAGTGTTGCATTTGAGTTGTTGCGCAAGAAGGTCACAAATTGTGGCACAATGTTCTTCTCTATGACGTCCTCGATTGGGGGATTTGGATCACGGGACAGTAGTTTGCGAAACTTTTGTGTTGCTTCCAGCTGATCGCTCTCTTTATCGCTATAGAGCATTTGAATCATCTCTGCATCAATAATAGGCTGTTGGCCTGAGGCCTCCTGCTGACCGGCTCCATGCGATTGCACTCCGTCCACGGCCACACCCACTCCCAGACCCTGCCCACTACTGTCTGCCATGTGCATGTCACTACTGTGCAGCTGGACTTCGCCACTGCCGCTGCTACCGGCGCTTGTGGTCGCCGGTGTTGAGTCCAGCACAACATTGCGACGCTTTGAGAGCTGCTGTTCTCGTTTTGTTTTCCGCAACTGAATTCCAACCTCTTCGCGTCTGCGGCGCATCTCTGTTGAGTCCAGAGCAACATTTTTATAGCGATGTTTATGTGTGGTGGACATTTTATGTCGGTAGCTATTATTTCTGTGAAAGACTAAAAATAATATATTTCTATATCTATGTGATTTAAAAAATTTTGTTTATGGTAACAGTTCACAATTTTTATTTAAGTTCTGTGGACTTGGGATTATAACAACAGACTTACACCAGAGTCTTAATCAGTGCCTACATGGATGACAAAATTGTATTGTGAATTCAAAAGCTTGCGCATACTAATGCAAACGTGTTGGAATCATATGCATCACGTATGTTATTATACAATTCCGACATGGACGGGTGGTATATACTCGTGTCATACACGAGTATACACACATATGAATTGACCTCACTTATAGAGTATAACTGCGTCGACCACTCTCGCATTTACGTTTACTTGCACCTTCTTTTTACTTCACTCAGGGTTGCCAGCTTACGCAGTTTGTATGAAGAGTCTAGCGTAAGCTAGAAATATTGCAATGAACAAGTATTACTAGCTGTTGCTCGTTAATAAAATATTATATGTAGTTTATAAGTACTTTTCTATTTGCACAGCAACAATCACTTTCACATTTTAATTATTAATACATACGAAAATGCATATATGTATGTGTGTAGGCGTGTATTAGCGTGTGCGTAATGTGTATATGTAGTGTGCGATGGGCTTAGGTCAGCTTCAGCAAATGCTGCTTACTTCCGCACAATTCGCTGTATATAACATTTCTTTTGAGTCCAAACACACTGGCATTAAGTTACAGCACCATTTGTTATCACTTTACCTGTATTACTGCCAATTTGAAAGGTTTATTTATAGCACAAAACACAAATGCAAATTTTTGTCACGATACGCCACACGTTTTTAGCTGGGCGTATAAGGTTGCCAGACTAAATTGATTGCACTACAGCTGATTGTGCAACTTAGTAAGCCTCGATATCGATATCAGCAAGACATTATTAAAATAAAATGGCGCCAACAATGAATGCATCCAAAGATCAACAAACAAAAACTGAAGTCGCTCTGCAACAACAAAAGCAAAAACATATGCAGCTTCTGCACGAATACAACAATCTGAAGGATGCAACCCAAACAGTGCTGGGAGCCTTAGCACAGGCAAAAGGAGTACCTATTAGAGACATGCATAAGATGTACAACCTGCCAGATGGGAAATAATATTTTCAATTGAATAGCATTGAATTATGTATTTATTTTCAAAAATAAAGATACATACAGATGCTTGTAAACAGCATTAATTCGTAAAAAATAGCTAGGCAGTTATTGATGATGACATACTATTTATAATTTTTACTTACAACTAAAAAATTTAAATTACTGCCTTCATTGCATGCTGACAACTTCACTGTCATATGTTATTGCATCAAACATAATATTTATTCGCCAGCATGAAAATAATTCCTGCAGCGTTCATTAAATGCCTTGTAACTCCGTTCCTTAATTATATCCTCCACATTAAGCTCCGCTTGCAGCACCCTCAGCTGTCAAAATAATAAGGTCTTTAATGAAACAAGCAAAATTTTAACAATATGAAAATGTACCTTGCGCTGCTCAGCCTTGAATTTACTATCGGTGTCCATATCATCTGGCTGTGCCTCCCTTTGCTCGCGAAGCTTCTTCAATGTTGCCGCTGATAAGGTTATGCAATTGCGTATATTTGTTTGCTGCCCGGATTAAGGAATCAAAATATATTGGAGTTGTGAAAATATGCAATAAATAGTTTTGTATTTACCCGTGCGAGATGTGACTGCTGCAGTTTAGTGTACAGATCCCTGCATGTGCTCTCACTATTCACTTGACCCTTGAATGATTCCGTAGGCAGAGCATTAAGAGCGTAAATAATTTTATCATCTACATCGCGCATCTTCTTTAGAGCCTCCTATTATCAAAGTCATATTGAATGGATACTGCATTTATTTTGCTTATATGTTGTCACTTACTTGAAAGCCCAAAAAGTCAAAGCAAGAAACAGCCATTGAATATTAAAAATTGAATATTATTTATCAAATTAACAAAATAAAAAACAAAAATTAGCCGGCGCAATGTGCGTTTTAACAGTGTTGCCACATTGTTGTGGTTGGGGTTATTCGAGTTGCCGATATTTTTCTATATTTTAATGTTTATATACAACAATCGTTTGTCAGATTATTTATTTATTTAATTTTTTTTTTTTTTTTGTATTCTAGATTCCGATTAGTTTATTAAATTTTTATAATACATTGTTCAATATAATTATGAATATCAAAAGAAGCTCCAAGTAATCGATAGTTGCTTACTAATAAGAATACGAAAGCTGTCATCTCTAAGTGGACCAACCATTTGGTAGAAACAATAACAAATTTGCCTAAATAACAAATCTGAGAACTTTACCTATGGCGAAGCACGAAGATATTCGTGATAAAATTGAAAGTGGAATCTATAAGTTAGCGACAAATGATAAAAGCACAAGAAGCACTGTTTGGCGTGTGTATCGAAAGATTGAGAAGGAGGACGGCAAAATATTAGAGCACGTCTTGTTTTGCACTGGATGTAAAAATCTAATGTCCTTTACCCATAAATCAACCACAAATTTGAGGCGCCACAAGTGCCATTTGCAATATTTAAAAAAACAGACGTTGTGCAATGGATATTCAGACGTAAACAGCTCAAAGGAATGGTTCAAAGACGACGAAGGAGAAATGTCAGTGGAAGACATTTTACTGGAAGCCGAGTCCGAACTTAAAGTGGACAACGAAGAGAGTTGCGATGCCCAGACAATGAGTGATGAGTTGGACAAGAAACCTACATCAACGGACGTTGCTGCATTCATGGCTCTCCGGAGCGCTGGTGTTGGAGCTGAGCCAAACGATAGTTGCGTGGACACTGGATCACTCGTTCAACAATCGAAATCCAACGATGATCCACTAAATGTTGGCGTTGCAAGCATTCCAAATCCAAGTTCACGTCTTTCTGAAGCCTTTGTATCCCACGACGTAAGTGGGGCTGAGGAGTCAGCAATTTACGCACAAACTTGGTCTTTGGAATACCGAAAACTTACTGAAGAACAAAAGTTCTATGCCAAAAGGGCAATCGATGAAATTTTTGTGCTGGGCCGACTTAGACGTTTAACATTAAATACGGTACCGCCGGTTACCGAGTGAAATAGTGCACAATTTATTTGTTATCTATAGGATAATTGTAATTTACTTATTTTTAACATAATATGTATGTAGATAATGTAAATATTTATTGGGTAAATTCTGTGGTCTCGGCTTATAAGATATTAATAAATGTAGAATGTAGTCTGTGGAAGACTAGTTTTTCCCACCAAGGCATATTATAAATGTAAATTACTTGTTTTATGTTGGCAAAAAAAATTTAAATAAATAAAATGAAAATAATACTTTCACAGTGTTGTTAAACACTGAAAGAGATTCTATCATAATGTTAAAATTCCAATACATTAATTTAAATGTTAACAGCAAACTCTTTATTGTATATTTATTACCAAACGAACTTTATTGGTATCATTGCTTAGTGTTTTTATGAAACGACTTAAGGACTTTAAATTCATCTGCAATGTATACTTTTCCATTTGAGTAATTCTATGTAACGTATTAACACATACAAGTACTTTCTGTTATGCTGACATTTTCTGTTAGTTTGACATTCTGTTAGATTGAGCATACACGTTTAGATTCTAAAAGCAAAAATTATTTTTTCTTCCATTTGATTACAGACAAGTTGATTATATTACAATTGAATTAAAATGACAAGCAGACGTCCATTATATAGCAATCGGGAACTTGGTGACTCCGGATCGCCCACTAGAAATGTGTTAAGTAGAAGTCCACGTCCTGATAGCTACAGGGAAAATATGAATGCAGATGAAGATGAAAATGAATTCGATGAATCGAATAATGAGCCAATTAATGAAGAAGGCGTGGAGACAGACTCAAATGAAGGCGATTCAATGGATCAAAGTTGCGGCAACCCATCAATACAACATAATCAAACACATCCGCAAACAGCACAGGCAATAAGGTCAAGAATAGCCCAAGGGACCGGCGCGCAACGACCACGAGAGACAAGCCTTCAACGACGACCAGAGACAAAACCACTAGCAACAGCGCCGCTGGTTAACTTAAAAATGAAATCATTTTCACCTTCTCAGTTAATGAAATATTCTATTATTATCATATTGCCGCTCATTGCCTACTCACAATATTACAAGTCGGAGCCGCAAGTGAAAACCTGTACATTCAAGGAATTGAAACAGCGCACTCCTTCGCAGTCGACGGATGTGTGGAAGGCGCTGAGGTGCAACATTGAAGATATGCTAAACAAGAAGAGCAAATCGCCCAATGTTTACTTGTTTTTATACACGAATGAAAGCAACGAGTCTGAAATGCAAAAACTGGTCAACGATATAGCACTGGAAACGTCCAAGTGTTTTAGTAAGCAAATGTGAACTACAAGCTGAGTCCATTGAATTTATATATACTTTTTTAATAGATGAAAAGCCACTTGTAAAGATGAGCTTGAAGGATTTCGAAACGCAGACCGGAGATGATTACGGCTTTCCCATTGAGCAGTACAAAAAGAAAATCAGAGACGGCAACGTTTTCCTCATTGTGGATCTAAATGATGTGAGTAGTGGCTTAATATATTTGATAGACTCTTGAATTAATTTCGGCACTCAATCACAGATACCTCCGAATGCGGCACGTGCACTGCACACCATTTGCGACACCTACAGTCCTATCGCTCCGGATGTTGTCATCTTTCTGACACTGCGCACTAATCTGACGACAGATGCTGGAACTCCAGTCCAATTAGCCCATCACACATTGCATGAGCTCTGGAAGGAGTTACCCAATAATGAACTGGATGCACTAATCACACGAGTCACCGATCAGGTGTTGCTGTTGCAAAGCTAAGCTTAACTTACTAATATATGAAACTTTATTTCGGTTATGAACAAATCAAACAAATTAGTTTTTAATATCTGTCCACCATAACTCAAGCAAAAATGCCACCACACTGCAGGACATGCCAAAGCACCACAACATGACCAGGCCGATGAAATTGTCAATGCCCAGCTTAACGGGTCCAATATCAAAGTTGGGTCTTTTTGAGGATACGATGCGATTTTGCCTATGGGCATTCATATAGTCAGCCACGATTTTCCACTCCCAGTACTTGTCAAATCCGGAGGAGTGCCAGGCGAGCGTGAAGTCATTATGAATGCCACATAATGGCCACAAGCGAGGAACGTACGCATTTGTGTAGGAAAAGTAGAGATCATCCACCATTAGTTTGAGTCGCGGCAATGCATTATCAGGAATCAATTCAGCGTTTGCCACGTGTCCAAAAAGCATTCGCTCGACCACAAAGCCCATCTGTTCAGTGCGGGATTTCGCTGCCATGGTCGCAGCATCATTTACACGATAGTGCTCTAAGATTCCCAGTAAGACGGGCTGCAGATGCCAAAGGGTAAACAAGCTAGCAGGGCAAAAATCTTACACTCTGACTCACATCATCATCATTGTTAACATCAATGGTGCTTATCCAGGCATAAGATGTCCCAGTCCAGGTCATCTTGTGCTCATAGAGACGTTGCCGCGAATCAGCTGCTTCCTCCAGTTTCGGCAGCGTCAGTATGGATGCCAATCCCCCACCATAAACGGTGGTCAAGATTATGTCGATCATATAGCTCGCTAGCAGGACAGTGCGGAGTGCATACGATTTGGCTACATAATGGGTGCTCTGGTTAACAAACAACTTGAGCGTGCTGACATAAGCAAAGCGCAGACTCTTTCGCCAGCGCGGCTCTGAAGCTGAAAACTCGCAGTGATGTGTGCCGGCAAGAGCTAGGCATTCTAAGGCAAGGCAAATGACGACACATAGCCACAGCTTGGCCTGGAATGGCTGCAGCGGCAAAGCCCAGTTGATAATTCTACGCGGCGCCGGCACTAGACATGTTATACCAGATCGTCCAAGAAAACTTGACATATCCATTTGCTTATAGACTTCGTACCACATAAACAAGCCGCCCATGGCGTAATCAATTGTTCTATTGACCACCATGCCCATCAATCCAACGCCTGTACCATTTGGATAGAGGTCGCCCCACTCGGATTTTTCGCCTGTAGGTAACAGTTGATACATAAATGATACATGCGTGATGTATGTATATATGTATATGTGTGATACATATGTACATATGTATAAATATAGAGTCAAATATCGCTCTCTTCGCTTGGAAATTCTAATAGGAAATGAGCAGCGCTCTAGCGCCCGAGCACTGAGCTCTATTTAAAGGGAAGATGCTACAAAAGGTTTTGTCTGTCGCAGTGCTCCGCTTTGAGTGCACTTGTAGCTCTCTGAGCTCAACTTGAGTGGAATGATGTCAGCTATAAAAGGGCAATGCAGCCCTAAAATTCGATCAGTAATTTCTCTGATCTGCTGCTTATCGGTCGAAGTGCTCATCGTTTGCTTTGTGGGTCGTCAATTTAAATGAAGCTTATGATCAATACAAATACATACATACTTGTATCTATTTGAAGAGTGCAATTGTAAATTTCGCAGAAAGTGAGTATGACACGGACCTCCGTGCCATCTGCATGCGCCTCTGTTTTATTGGAAGCGCGATCGAACATTGCTGGTTGTTTTTCCTGAATAAATAAAACTATAAAAATCTAGAAAAGAAAAAACCATAAATAATAATTATTTTCACTTACATAGCTAAGTAGCATAAATGGTTCATAATTAAATAGACCCAACACAACTTCGCGTCCTTCTAAATTTTTCATTTTACTTGATAAATCTTTAGCACTATTCCATATAACGTTTTCGGCTTGGGCATCATAAATATGCTGTGTATAAAAATGTGGTTTGCTCTCAAATCGGGAACCAACAAAGCGATTGGTTTTAATTTCAAATATGCTCGAATTACGAAGTTGGGCGTTGACCAAAAGAATGTTCGGTTGATCTGTAACGAGGAGACAAAGGCAAAAGTTACAGGAAAAAGAGAAGAGTTTTTATCAGCTTACCAAGAAATAGATAACCATTCATATAACTATCAGATTCCATAGGCTTTTCAAGCAACTCATCGGTGTACACAAAGATAAAATAATTTTGAATCGACCGCCAAATTGAGTAAGTGCTTGCTTTATAAAAATTACGAATAAATTGCGGTATATGCTCCTGAAATACTACAAAGCTCTATAATTTAAGCAAATAAACGCATTAATTAATTAAAAAGGAAAATAAATTGTATATAAATTATAACAGGCTAATTTGACTAGTCTTTTATTGCAACCAGTGCTGCATAAAATATTTGCAATATTGCTCTCTTTTTTGATAGCAAAATCATTTTTGCAATTTGCTGGTCACACTGTTTGGCCATAAATCAAAAACGTGCGTCACCCTAACAACCGATTGTAAACAATGGAGAAGTTTGGACTGGCTTGTCCGTTGGCATTTCTAGCCAGCAAGCCGCAGCGAATTAAAACAAATATATTGGATTTAAATTATGACTGCTATGTGCATATATTCTCGTATCTAACCGCGCTCGAGGACAAATTAAATTTAGCCCGAGCTCATCCGCAATTTCGCGAAGTCTTCGCACGTGACGCGCCTCGTCGTTTTGTTAAGATAAATATGCGGATGCTGAAATGCCTTTCCGATTGGGAATATCTGTTGAAGCTGTGCGGTGACTGTGTGCTCGAGTGCGAGCTACGCCATGGACGCTGGGACAATAATATCACTCAACCGTTCATGTGCCTTCTAAACACGCACTGCCAGAATTTGCGGCATTTGCATCTCATATTCGCGCACTCCGATTTAAAGCCACCGGCGGAGGGGGATCTAAATATTTTACAAGTGCTTGAACGGAAGAATCTACATAGCCTCAGCCTAATCGACGCTAAGGCAGCTGATGGTGAATATGATTAAATATCGTATAGACATAATAGACATGCTGTTTCGTGGATTTATACGCAAATTTCATTAAGCATTTGGAGTTAAATCAAGGAATCAATTGAGGTTTTCTGCTTTCATTACTTGAGTGTCAATAATACCAATAGATATAAATTACTAAGAGACCTAAAAGTTGAATCAACAATATTATGCTAACTTTTTATGATTACAAATTATAAATTTTGTTATAGAATTGTAGTATTTATTAATATTTTTGATTCATCTTTTAGATCTAAAATTTCTGAGAATCGCGGAGAACACGATATCCAGTTAGCAAAGAAACTTTATAAAATGAATCATATTGAATAAGAATCAGAATTAAATAAAATATGT